CTAAATTATACTTCAGGCACCACTTCATCACCCAAAGGTGTGTTGCATTCTTATAGATCTATTTTCGTAATGACATTTGATTCTTTGATCAATTGGGATGTTCCGAAACAGCCTGTTTATTTGTGGACACTGCCAATGTTTCACTCGAATGGATGGACTTACACTTGGGGCATGGCCGCCGTTGGTGGAACCAACATTTGCCTTCGAAAATTCGATGCAAGTGTCATTTACAACAAAATAAATCGACATAATGTCACACATATGTGTGGTGCGCCAGTAATACTCAACATGCTAGCAAATTATCCACATGCTAAGCAACTTAAAAGCCCAGTTCAGTTTCAAACTGGTGGCGCACCACCGCCAGCCGCAGTGGTCCTCCGGACGGAATCTTTGGGTTTTGTTGTCTCTCATGGATATGGATTGACTGAGGCAGGTGGCGTGGTGGTCTCTTGTGCTTGGAAATTGAAGTGGGATTTATTGCCAGCCACAGAGAGAGCCAAATTGAAGGCTAGGCAGGGAGTGAGGACTCTAGGGTTGACTGAGGTAAATGTTGTGGACCCTGAAACAGGTGTGGGCGTGAAAAGAGATGGATTAACAATGGGTGAGGTTGTACTAAAAGGTGGGTGTTTAATGTTGGGGTACCTTAAAAACCCGGAGGCAACTTCGAAATGCTTGAGGGAGAATGGATGGTTGTACACTGGCGATGTTGGGGTGATGCACCCGGATGGATATTTGGAAATCAAAGACCGATCGAAGGATATTATCATCACGGGTGGTGAAAATGTGAGCAGCGTGGAGGTGGAATCGGTGCTTTACTCGAGCCCCGTGGTTAATGAGGCGGCCGTGGTGGCACGACCTGATGAGTTCTGGGGAGAAACTCCATGTGCATTTGTAAGTTTGAAGGAGGGGTTGACTCTGAAGCCAACTGAAACTGAGATAATAGAATTCTGTAGGGAGAGGCTGTCACATTACATGGTGCCGAAGACGGTGGTGTTCATGGAAGAGCTTCCAAAAAATGCGACGGGAAAGATTCAGAAGTTTGCTCTAAGAGAGATTGCTAAAGATATGGGGACCTTGCCACGAGCAACAAGTCGAATATAAATTAAGAAACCATAGCAATTTATATTTCTGTACATTTCATTCTTTACAATTTCACGTTTATAATTCTGTTCTTCATTAC